ATATCCACACAAGACATTTCACGATATTTTTCATAATTTGGCGATGGAAATGGTATGGCATGATTATCTATGAGATCCCCATCTAAGGCCCAATGTATACTATCTTTGAGTTTTGTCTTATCTGGCAGTATAAATGTTGATTTTTTCTCGCGCCCATTCGATACTTGCTCCGTGGTTATATTGTCACCAGATGTACTGCAAGTTGGTTGATTTAAAGTAGAGTGGGAAGAAATTCTTGTTGAATCTGTGAATTTAATTTCGACTTGTGCTCTCAATATACTAACTATAATGTTCATTTTCATATCTTTTTTAGCCATATATAATGAAAAATAAAATCAAAATCATCAATTTGTACTTTAAAATTTTTTTCTTCATAATAACCTAGCGTTACATATGTGTAACGCCAACAAAACACTGATTTTGCGTACACCTATGAACATTAGTTTTGAAAATTACCTAACCTAACATATACATAGAACTATTAGCAATAAAAATACATATATTATGTCGCATAAGTAAAAAAAAATTATCTTTATAATACTTACTCAAATCGTACTCCGGTTTCCATTGAATCGGCCATGTTCACCAAAAATAAATCACATAAAACAAACAATATATTTATTCAAATTGTTCACACACAGCTGACCATAAACACAGTACTAGCTGTTAACTGACTTATCACACCATCTACCTGCTAATATCCTAACTAAGGCCGCACAAGAGAATTTTGTAGGGGTCTACAAACGTTACATATATGTAACGCCAGGTCATAATGGGTTAAAGCTAACGCCAGGGCGTTCAAAAGCCTCTTTTTGACTGAGGTGGATTATTCCTCTATGTAATTTCTAGCTTACTGTGTGTCTTTGCTGCTGTTCTGACTATATTCCAGTTCTTTCCTGCATTACAGTGAACTTTATAGTCATTAACAGTCATTATTATATCTTCTGCCGGTATAAGCAATCTCCCACTTACTGACCAATGGCTTCGGGAGGATGAGTTGGTAAGTGATAGGGAACCATTTTGTCCCGAGGTTGTGAAATCGGCCTCGAAGGCGGATGAACTAAAAATTTAATCAAGGGCATAAGGATGGAGAAGCACAAGTAGGGCTAACACTCCATTAAATATCCAAAGAGATACGCCCTAGCTAATTAATCGTGGCAATGCTAAATACTAAAATAAATTCTGGAGTAAGTCCTCCGATCGGGTCTCCGGGGAGGACAATTTTGAGTTTACCAAAAGATAATAAATTAAAGTGTAGAAAAAATATCAAGATCTGCACATAAAATGTCAAAACTTTATACAAAGCAGGCAAAATCCACAATGCAGTACAGGAGATGAAGAGAATGCATATTGAAATCATGGGTATAGCAGAAATGAGATGGCCAGATTCTGAAGAAATACAAATAGAAGATCACAAGGTATATTACTCGAAAAAAAGTGATAGACCACATGAATATGGAGTCGGAATAATCGTATCACCCAATGTTGCCAAATGCATTACTAACTTTACACCAATATCAGAGAGAGTGATGTTACGACAAGTAGAAGCCAAGCCTATTAATATAAACATCATCCAAGTATATGCTCTCACTGCAGACAAAGAGGAGGAAGAAGCAATTGAGGTCTATCAGAACATCAACAGTATTATACAGAAAATTCCTCGATAGGAAGTTCTCATCATTATGGGCGATTTTAAGATTGGAGCTGGAGATAAAACACAGTATATTGGAGCACATGGACTTGGAGTCAGAAACGAGAGAGAAGATATCATAGAAAAAAATTCGCAGAAGACTCAGAACTAGTTGTCACCCACACATGCTTCCAATTACCACCACTTAAGCTGTACACGTGGAAATCACCTCAAGACAGACCCGGGAGAATTATTAGGAATCAAATAGACTACATTTTAGTAAATAAAAGATTCCGAAACAGCTTAAGATCTGTCAAGACTTATCCTGGAGCAGACTTGGAGTAAGACCACGCTCCACTGGTGGGAGTATTTTGACTCAAACTTCAAACTCTGACGACGACCTACGCATGCTTGCATACGACCTTGATACAAAGATGAGAGTCCAAGCCACGTTAAACGAGCAAGTGACTGCAATTAGAGACGAATCGAAAGAAGAACAAACAAATTACATAAATAGTGCAAAATGTGAAGGATAAACACTTAAAGATAGATAGATTAATAAAGAAAAAATCATTGATAACAGATGATATCCTTAAAATAATGGACGAGAGTAGAGAAGCCAAAGCCAAAGCCAAAAATGACCCTGACAAATATAAAACCATAAATATATTAATAAAAACGAAACTCAGAGAAGCAAAAGAAAAAGAAGCAAGGGAAAGATGCGAAGAAATTGAGACTCTGAAGTCACTGAAGTACGATAGTCACAATGTACATAGGAAAGTTAAAGAATTCACAGGAAGACGAAGACGAAAGCAAAATGAAAATATAACTGATTCTGACGGAAACATCATCTTGGTCAAACAGAGTAAAATAAGAACGTGGAAAGAATATCTAGAAAAACTATTTGAAGACGAAAGAGATAATAACACCTTTGGGCTAGGAGAAGAGGTAAATTATGGACCAAGAATATTACGATAGAAAGTTTATTCCGCAATAACACAGTTAAAGGATGGAGGAAAAGCGGCAGGCACTGATAATGTACAAGCAGAACTACTCAAACTTATGGACAACGAATCAATAGCAATAATCGCAAATATATTCAACAGCATATACAACTCTGGAGAAATACTAACAGAATGGCTGAAATCTGAGTTTATTGTACTTCTAAAAAACAACAGGAGCCAAAAAATGCGAAGATTACCGTACTATAAGCCTCATGAGTTATCTCCTAAAATTATTCCTAAAGATAATTTATAGGAGAATATATAAGCTCTGTGAAAGTCAGATTTCCTCCAACCAGTTTAGATTCACAAATGCTGTTGGTACTACAGAGGCTTTGTTTTCAGTACAAGTCTTGTTCCAGATATGAAGAGACGTCAACTGCGACGTATAAGCATGTCTGGTTGATTGTAAATACTTAAAGAAGCAGGAACTAACAACCAAGATCTGAAAGTAATTAGAAATCTTTATTGAAATCAGACAGCAAATCTCAGAGTTGAAAGTGAACACACTGACTATGTGAAAATCATGCGTGGAGTGAGGCAAGGCTGTATTTTGTCTCCTCTAGTCTTTAATCTGTACTCTGAAAAAATATTTATCGAAGCTTTGCACGAAACTTCGTATTCGAAGGTATTCGAATACGAAATTCGAAAACGGTATTCTACTAAATGTTTACCGGCTAAACAACATTAGATATGTAGATGACACCATAGTATTTCCGGACAACTTAGAAGACCTACAAGTTCTTATGAACAAAATCACGTATTATAGTCAACAATATGCACTCAATATAAACTTCCACTCTCTTCGTATTTGAATTTCCAGATCCCTGTTCTTGGCGATTGTTTCGTTCTGTTTAGCACGAAGATTATTGTTGTTGGGTATCGCCACATCAATTAATGTTGTCTGTCTTTTAGTTTATTAACTACCTAGTATGAGATCTGGTCTATGATGTGCCACTGTTTGGTCTGTGAGCACAGTGCGGTCCCAGTATAGCTTGTAGTTGTCATTCTCAAGTATACTCTTAGGAACATATTGATAATATGGAAGATGGTTTCTTTAAAGTGGTTCCAGTTAAATAGCTATCTCTTGATGAAGGATTTTTCCTACTGAGTCGTGTCGTTTTATTTATTCATTTGCAGCAAATGTCTGACAGCCCCCGGTAAGATGTTGGATGGTTTTCTGAGCTTGACATCTATATCGGCATTTGTCATTTTGGATCTAAGGGTCTTTGACGATATGTTTCATGTATTTTTTGTTGGTATAACCTGATCCTGAATGGCCAGTAGTGAACCTTCTGTTTCAGGGAACATCTTTCCTTATGTCAGTCAATAGTTCGGCGCTATATTGTCGACATGGTCTTGACTGACCTCATTGGGATGTCGCCCGTGTAGAGGTTTATCCATCCAGGTACGCATTTTTCCATCCATCCTAGTAAGATGGTTAAATTATTAATCTCTTTTTCTAGTGGTTCACTTATATTCATAAGCCCTCGTCCTCCTAAATACCAGCGGTAATGTTGTTCTTTCTACTGCACTTCGAGAGTGGTGTTTTTGTGCCTTTGTGAGATGTGTAAACACATACGTCATTATTAATATAATTTATTATTTTGTTAACATTTTCAGAGTATTATTAGTTTATTATCAACCTTTTTCCCCGATCACTTATGAGGTAGAATCTAGAGGTGCGTCTTTTTAATTGGTATCCCCTTTAGGCCTAATTCACTAACAGTTATTTTCCAGGCGAGATAATATTGACCATAATTAAATATTTAAAAAGTTGAATTTTAGCTATTGTTTTTAATTTTTTTTTAATACTGCGGTTTAGGATCTAATTCAGTATCGAAGGTGAATATTTGCGAAAGAACGAAAGTTGGAATTGGCGTCAGTGTGGGTAATTCATCTTCGAGTTCTTCAATGTTTTCTATTCATATTAATATTTCTATGATGTAACTGCACATTTCACCAGAACAATTGAAGCACACTACAGAGAATTTAAGACCTACTAAATTTATTTCAAAATTTTGGGAGGTACTAGAGTTTTGAAAGTTTTGATTGGTATCCAAATTCTCTATGCTTTTTTCGGCCCCAGTCTTTAGGATCGCACTGTTTCCTGGTGATAAAATTTAACACTATAAAAACAAGCTGCATCTTATGCTGGCGGAAGCGATGATAAGTTAAATGTAATTTTTGTCACCGTCTTAGCAAATCGTTTGTATCTTATGCTGTAAGAGAATTTTAATTATTTTCGTTCGTTTATTCAAAGTTAATTTAAAGGAGTAATTGGTCATCGCTTTCTTTAATTATAATCGAACTTAATACAAAAAATTATATATTAATAGTGTAAAACAAGATACTCTTCCTATAGTAAGTAGATAGACGAAAGAGAGACTTCGGAGTTAAGAAAAGTTTAAGAGGAATAGACACAAATTCAATTAAGGTAAGACTATTTACCTGTTTACTCAGAAAATGTCATATCACACTTAATCATTTAAGCTTCTTTCGTAAAGACTTCAGAATTAAAAAGGTTAAACTGTATTATTTAAAATTCTCTAAAGCTCGTAACAAAATCCTCTTTACGAAAAACTATATCTACACTAATTCAGTGAGCTGTAAAAAGAATAAGTATGATAATAATTAAAACCATTGACGAAAACAAATTACGAAATGAAAAGTAACCAAAGGCTATTTAAGCCGCTTAGCTTAATGCTTCTTTATCCTTTTTTATCCTAGAAGGATAAAAGAACTGTTTCAGAGGAGGACCTACCACAACGTCAGTGTGTAACTGTTTATTTTTGACAGATAACATAGGAATTTATTATAATATTTTGATGGTAATTCCAGATATACAATGATTTTAAATATTTGTATTGTAAAGAGTAATTTGTTTTACATCGAGAATATCCGTCAAATGCTTTTGTTCTTTTGATTTATTTATAAAATCTCTATTTATAATTTGTATACAGTTTAATTTTTTATCCTTAGCAAAAAAATTCCAATTTATTTCCAGTATATCCTATGGTAAATAAAATGTGCAATACAATTTCAGAAATAAGTATTTCATTGTCATAATATCTTCATCGCAATGAGCTTTATTTCAAATGTAGATACTAAATTAGACCCGTGATAAAATAGCAACAAAACTGCTACAATATAGTGTTCTGGTATCGCTTCTCTACAATTTTTATATTGATGAAGTCTCACTTCTCACTATGGGACTAATGCCCGGATTACACGAGGCTAGTTTTCAAGCTAGGATAGCAAGCTAGTATTACTAGCTTCATATATACAGAACTAACTTCGCGTGTAGGCTAGGAAGCGAATAAAAAAGACTGTAAGCCAGTGTCTTAAGCAAGAATAGTTTCATGGAGCTTAATTTTGTTCAGCTATTTGCGTCCCCCTCTAATGGTTTTACTATCATGGCTTCTGTTCCGCCCTTGCCTGGCCGGCAAAGCTAGTGTTTTCGAACGGCAAGTACGTAGTGTCAACCTGTTTTATATTTTCTAAGAGATAACCAGGTGATTCTAAAACTAATATGCCAAAATTAAGTGCCAAGATTAATTTAAAGTTTGTACAACTGTATCACAAGAAAGAATGTCTGTGAAACGCCACTATCCCATCATATAAAGATGAGTCTATTTGTGATTCAGTATTACAAAAAATAATTTCAAAATTATTAGAACTCGGTATAGAAATATCTATCAAAGACATAAAAATGAAGACAAAAATTTTAAAATGAACAAGGTCTAGAGCAGATTCTACGAATGAGTGTAAGTCAAAACTAAACTGGTTCGATGAAATGCACAGTTTTATTAAATGCGCACCAATATAAAGAAAACCAACGGTTAGTAAGATTGCGGTTGACATAAGTGTCAACACACCGGGAAATTTTAACAAGAAACGTGTTTTCCCAGAGGCGCGCACAAAAATAAACAGACAAGAAATCAATTTTAATTGCCAAGGCCCTGCACCATCATTGTTAAAGTAGGTTTTAAAAGTCTCTCTTCTCGCCATTTCTGACATCGAACAGTTTCTGTTTTCCAAGAGCCATGATAAGTGTTTCCTGCATCAATATCTTCTCGGTGGACATCATTGCTAATTAAAAAATTTCGATTTTCATTTCTCTACCAATTATGTAAAACACATGCTGTCAATAAAATTTTGTTGACTGCTTCTACATTGGTTGTAATTTAGATTAAGGTTTTATAATATAGGTTTTTATTAAAAATGCGGCATCCACAACAATCACTCCACCCTCTGGTAGAAGATTATTTTCCAGTTTATTATATTTGAAGACATTTTTAAATGCACTTCCATCTGATGCCATTACACAAGCCCTAACATCAACATAATGAAAACAATAGTCATCATCTACTAATGCCACAAGAACAATACTGAACACTTTTTTATTATTGAAATACAAACTCCCACTATTATTAGCAGTGACACATTGAATATGTTTTACAGCAATGGCATTTCCTTTGGCATTATTTGGTCCTCCTCCTCAATCTTTTCTCCTTCGTAAGAATGTAGTGGCGTCATGTAATTTGTTTAACTATTTTTGTCCAATTATCTCTTTCCAGTGCGTGTTGTTTTGCTTCAGAGAATAAGTAACCAGTCATCTCCTTTATTTGGTCTGACCATCGTACTGGAGATCTTCCTCCGGATCTTTTATCCGCTATATTAAGTTCAACTATCATTCGCTCCATGCCTTCTCTTCTTTTAGTTACATGTCCAAAATATCTCAGTATATTTTGGTTGATAGTTGTGATAAGTCTAGTTTTTATTTATTTCAAATCCAAAAACGTTTTCGGATTGTTAAATCCATCATTAGTGCAAACCTGGAAGTAAATAATCACTTTAATTAAAAAGAACGTTGAATTTAAAATGTTGACTAAGGTTAAAGAACATTGTGGTTAATACTTACGAGGTATACATGCTATGAGCCACCAAAATATATGGGTCAAAACCCTTTAAATGATATAAATTTACAGTTGCTTTACATTATATGTGGTTACAAATTATGATGTTTAAGTTACCGTTGGAATTGGTAACATGGCGACGTATGACCCTACATAGGTAAAATGGTCTTGAGACGAAATGTCTGATCGAAATGACATTGTTGACATGTTAGAACGGATGTTGTGTCAGAGCAGTCAGTGTAACTTACGGTAGTTGTCTAAAAATGACAGATGTCAGCATTATTTAAAATTGAAAAAATTCAAATTATAATAATGTAACAGTATCAACCATCAATGTTGTAGTCTGTAATGTGAATTAATCATATGGCTATATTGGAAACATTGAAAAATTTTACCAAAATGAATGAAACCAAAATATTTTGGTGGCTCATAGCCTGTATACCTCGTAAGTATTAACCACAATGTTCTTTAACCTTAGTCAACATTTTAAATTCAACGTTCTTTTTAATTAACGTGGTTATTTACTTTCTGGTTTGCACTGATGATGGATTTAACAATCCGAAAACGTTTTGTAATATATTTGTGATAGCCCGTTTGGGCATTTTATTATATACCTTTTATAAAGGATTTGAAATTAATTGTTTGTGATATATGGTATACAGCCAGCTACAGTAACTTAGTTTCCTAGTGGATTTCTAGTTTTTATGTTAAGTTCTGTTAGAATTGAGTTATTTGTGCGATAAGCGCTCCACGGTATACACACATTCTACGGTAGACCCACATTTCAAATACCATTATACGCTTTGAATCGGCTTTTTTTTTTGTCTAAGTTTGTGAGGCATACGTAACGATATAAAATCAATGCTCGATCAAGGCGTAATTTTGTGTTTTTTGTGATATCAGTGTTCTTTCAAATTTTTCTGAGTTTGTCTGTTACCTCTATTGTTAGTAATATCGGAGCACAGGTAATTAAATTGCCTGACCACTTCGTGACTTGTCATGTTTCTTATCTCTGCTTGGTAGTTTCTGATTCTATCGATGATCATAAATTTGGTTTTCTGTATATTTATTTTATATATATCATCATTGGTTCTTTTTTGCTAATGTTAGAGATGGTTTTATGTATCAGTTGGTATGTTTCTCCCACTGTATCTTCTGCCGCTTCAGATATTGGCATGTATACCTGTATAATATGCATTTTGGCTGTTTTACCGTTTAAAGTTATTTTATTTATTCGATTATTTACTGGAAGGTATTTATGTACATATTTTGCCCAATGATCTTAAATTAATATTGCTACACCTTTTTGTCCTATTTTTTAGATTCTTACATGAAGACTTTGTAGTGTGTGGCCTCACAATGTCCTTGGCCTTCACAGTATGTCTCAGATATCCCACAGATATCTATCTTCTCCGTGATCAGTTCATTTTCTAATATATACAATTTACCTTGCTGTAGCAGCCCCCTAACATTCCATGTTGCGATGTGGCGTTTTTTACGTAATGTTAAATTTGATCTTTCTGTATCTCATTTCGCAGATATTGCCTGGTCGTCCATAATCATCTGCTCGGTCGCCCATTTCACACCATTCGACCCGGAATCGATATGGCGCCGGTTGCTAGCCGGATTGCAGAGCACAGAATTTTATTGTTTAGTCGTCATTTCATAAAGCTTTTTGGGAAGAATCAGCTGGTTTCCCGTTGCCTACTCGATCGCAGTCTCACAGCCGGTTGAACTAAGATGTAGTTGTCGCCTGTGCGTAATTTACACTAGACCTGTATGGATCATACAGCTCTAGTGCAATAATGACATAGCTGCTGCCCTAGGTCATGCCCTCAATTGATCTGCGGGTACTTTGGTTAGACCTTATTCGCACCTGTCCTGCATATCTACAGGAACGTTCCCTATCAGCCATTGGGACGCGCCGTGTCGGGGTTGAGGACTTTCCCCGCCCCATTATTTGGTATCTAAAGAAAAACAATAATATAACATATTTATTATAATTATTACCACAGTGTTTCTTTTTTGTTGTCGTAGGACAGTCAAGAATCAGCAATAGATGAAGAGCGAAGTAACGGCCAAGTGAGCCAAGCCAACATTGAAAATAGCAAAGCAAATAATATTGACAACTGCTGCAATGACAATAGTGATAACAGAGAAGGCGTTTCAAATTCTGAAAATTGTTCATCATGACCATCTACATTTGGGTCAGGTAATACTACTGTAAAATTGACTAGTAAATCAAACGATAAAATATCTGCTTTAACTCCGAAAATGGAAAAATTTCAGAAGTGGCATCTTTAGTTAGAAAAATAAAGTCATAATATGCTTTAAATAATAAATCTACTGGTGAGTATTCTACACCACAAGAAAATCTTCTTCTTCTTCTTCTTCTGTTTTATAAGCAAAATGCTTGTTCAATGTCAATTAATGACTCTATTGGAGATCACTCCATCTTTTGCGTGGTCGCCCGATACTTCTTCTACCTTTTGGTGATTTGTCCCTCGCTATTCTGACTGATCGGGTCTCTTCCATTCTGTTTATGTGTTCGTTCCATTCCTTTTTTCTGTTCAGTGTCCACTCGTTTATTTCTGGTATATTATATTTTCTTCTGATCTCTTCACTCCTCATTCGATCCTTCAGTGTGTTTCCTGTAATTCTCCTCAGTAAACGCATCTCCGCTGTTTCTAGTAGTTGCTGAGTTTTGGAGGTATCCGGTCTTGTCTCTGAAGTATATGTCATTATTGGTCTTATTGTTGCTTTGTAGATTCTTGATTTCACGTCGGTATTAATGTGGGGATTGCGCCATATCGTGTTATTAAGACAACCTGCTATTTTCTTAGCCGTTTGACAGTATTAGTATTAGCTAGTATTAGCTAGACAGTGTAATTCCTAGGTAATTTGTCTCCATTACTTGCTCAATGCTGATACCGTCGATTTCCAGTTTACATCTAATTGGTTCTTTACTGATTACAATTGTTTTAGTTTTCTGTGTAGAGATCACCATATTAAAGTCCTTTGCCCTTGTATTGAATCTATGGGTTAGTCTTTGTAGATCGTCTTCATTGGATGCAATTAGGGCCGCATCATCTACATAGCGGAGTATTCTGATTTCTTTGTTCCCCATTTTGTATCCTCTTCCTTTATTAATAGTATTGATGATTTCATCCATGATTAGAGTGAATAGCATTGGACTAAGCGAGTCTCCTTGTCTTATTCCATTGCCCATATCTATTAGATCTGTAAGCTGGTCATCTATTCTGACTTCCATATTGTTGTTCTGGTAAATGTTCTCTATTGTTTTTGTAACATTTAGTGGAATTTCTCTATCGTAAAGAAGGTGAATTACATCTTTAAGCTTTACTTTATCGAACGCTTTCTTCAGGTCTATTAGACATATGAATGCTGGTCTGTTATACTCTAGTGCTTTCTCGGTCATCTGTTTTATGATGAATACTGCATCTGTGCACGATCTTCCTGTGCGAAAACCCTGCTGTTCATCCGCTAAGGTAATTCTCTGATTTATTTGGCCTTGCAATATTTTGGTTGTAAGCTTCAAATTGGTGTTTAATAAGTTGGTACCTCTGTAGTTTTTAGGTTGTTTTTTTATCTCCTTTTTTGTATAGTAGGATAAGCTCGCTTTTCTTCCACTCTTCAGGTATTTTATTATGTTTGATGATTTAGTTAATTAGTGCTGTTAGCTGTTCTGTTAATGCTTCTCCACCATATTTCAATAATTCATTTGGAATTCCATCTTTACCTGCAGCTTTTCTGTTCTTTAGTTTTTCTAAAGTTTGTTTTACTTCTTGTACGGTTATCTCGACTTCCTCGTTTGTAACGATTTCTGGTGTTTCTGGTTCTAACATCATTTGCTGTTCATCATTATAAAGCTTCTTTAGGTATTCAATCCATGTGTCGTTATCTATGTGTTTCGGTTCGATTAAGTCTTTCATCTCTGATCTTTGGCCTCTTATGAAACGCCATATTTCCTTTTGTAGACCGTAAAAGTCGTGTTCCATTTCTTTTGAGAAGCGTTCCCAGTGTTCGTTTTTAATTTTTCTTACTAGTGCTATTGTTTCGTTTTTTATCTTTTTGTAATTGTTGTATTCTTGTGGTGTTTTGTTAGACATGTATCTTAAGTAAGCTTTCTTTTTTTCTTTGCATTTTTCTTTCACTTCTGCGCAGAACCACGGAGTTTTCCGCTTCTGGAAATCTTTTTTTTAAGATTTTTTCTTCTTCAACAGCTTCTTTTGCTGAATCTAGGATGCTTGCTTTTTGCTGAAAGCAAACAAGAAAATGAGTATGATAATTATGGAACTTTTGTGAGCAGCGAACTGAAAATGATATCTATAGCACGAGCTATTATGGGTCAGGACCAAATCAATGCCATATTATCAGTTTCGCATGGAAGATCTGAACTACGTAAACACCACATTTACATACCAGACACCTAGTAGTCATTCCTCTTTAGATTCACACACAACAATTAATACTGTACAATGGCCACTTACATCACGAGAGTCGAATTTGTCAATAATTACAGAAAATTAAGCTAATAATGGCAACAAGTTAAACCACCTCAGATTTGCTGACGACATAGTGATTATAGCGAGCACATTCGAGGAACTGCAAATTATGTTGGGGGAACTAGCAGCCAGCTCACGATACGTCGGCCTAAAAAATGAATATGAACAAAACAAAAATAATGACAAACACACATGACCCCAGACATATAACTATAAACGGGAGTGAGGTAGAACAAATTCAGGAATATATCTACCTAGGCCAAATACTGAGACTTGACAAAGAGAACCAAAGTGCGGAAATTACTAGAAGAGCAAGACTAGTATGGGCAGGATTTGGAAAACTTAGTTGGATACTTAAGAACCGCAAAATACCCCAATACTCAAGGAGCAAAGTGTTCAATCAATACATCCTTCATATCATGACATATGGATGTCAAACCTGGACTCTAACCAAGGCAAACATGAATGAAGTAGCCACAACAAAAAGAACAATGGCAAAAGCAATGTTAGGTATACGACTGTCAGATAAAAAGAGGAACGACTGGGTAAGATCCGAAACAAAAGTAGAAGACATATCAACAAAAATTGACAAACTTAAATGGAGCTTCGCGGGCCACACTGCTAGACAGAAAGATCAACGTTGGAATACTACAATACGACATTGGAGACCTTATGAAAGTAAACGACCAAGAGGAAGACCACAGATGAGATGGGTTGATTACATTAAAAGAATAGCCGGAACAAATTGGATATATGTTGCTCAGGATATGGACCGATGGAAGGAGTTGGGAGAGGCCTATGTCCAAACATGGACTACAGAAGGCTAAGAAGAAGAAGAAGAAGCTAATAATTATCAACGACAAAATCCAATCGACAAGATTAATTACGATTTTGTACGTCAGATCAATGACAATCCTATTGCTTTAGCATTCCACAATGCATAATTTTTTTATTATCTTATTTCTAATTTTGTGATATATATATAAATATAAAGTTATTATTAGTATAATTTATGTTTTCTTTCAATGCCATGAAGATTTCTTCACATACCTCTGGTATGAATTTAGATATGGAACACCTTGAAACTCGGTAAAAGTGGCTCAGTTTTCTATAACTAATGCCGGATGAATCCGGATGATTCCCGAAAATCCAAAGTGATTGCTGGTAAAGTCTCTCTCATAATAGTACGCTGTCGTTAAATTTTTGGCATCACAAGATTCAACAGAATATTAAACACATCTGGCATCCGTTTTTCAATGTGCTTCCAGTACATTGAATGAAAAACCTTGTAAGTCAGTGTAAATATTTTAGGTTTATAAGCAAAATAATTTGCAATTTAAGTACTAAATTAACGCCCGGTTCCACCAACGTAACTTAAGTGAAAATTTGATCTTAAGAAATAGTTTTTACTTAAGTCCGTTAATTTTCGTTCCACCAACTAAAAATATTATATAAATATTTTTGCTTATAAATATTTTTGCTGTATAAATATTTTTGCTTAAGCTCAAGTCAGCTACTAGTAAAAATTTTAACTTGGAGCACATTCATCTGTCATATATTGACATATAAGTGAGGTTAAATTTAAATCTATTCTGTATATATTATGTTAATTTTCGCATTTAGTTGATATAATTTTTTAATTTTTATATTCCTATTTTTTATAAATTCTACCGTAATCTTTAATAAAACGTAGTATATAATAGTTGATAGTGTATATACAGTGAACATAGATATTTTAGTGTTGATAGGATTTTTTCTAAGTATATATTTTCTTTTAATTCCACGGAAGTGTATAGTTTATCGTGTATATAATAGAAAATAGTGTGTGATATTTGCAAAAATGGATCATTATCATTATCATCTAGCCATCATTATCATCATTATAAATTCTAAAATTTTACTATACTAAACATATTTTCATTTTATATTTCTCTTCTATTTTTTTTATGTATACTTTATTAACTTCTATGCAATTTCAATACTTTCATATTTTTAAACATAGAACAGTTATTGGCTTCAAATGTATTGTAAACAAATATATAAAAACTAATTATACTCCACAAAGATCATAGTATATAAATAGACTTCATACTTTACCTTAGTTATATGGACTTGTAAATTTTATTCCAATAAATAAATAAAAAAGATGACATCAACTACAATGTGTCAGTATATAACAGAAATAATAATATAGATAATAAATAATGACTTTTTATTGAAATCTTATTAACTGATTAATGGTTACATTTTTTTTATTTCATTCTCTAGAGGTTCATTGTCGAACATAAGTTTTCTTTTTTGTTGAAGCATTATTTCCAATTCTACTTCTTTTTGTTTTATTTGTAGGGCTTGGAGTTTTGCTTGAAAGGCTCTCTATTCTTTCTTTATTTCCTTCTCTATTTCTGTCTACTATGAAACTCTACATGAGCACAATCCTCTATTTGATTTTCTTCTCTGAAAACAAAAAAAAAATAAATAATTTGAATTGTATTAAATACTGAAGATTACATACCTGTTACTACAAAAAGCTTTTATCCAGTGCAGATTCATCATCATACGGGTTGTTCAACCCAACGACTGTTTTGTTGTTTATGATTTCCAATACAGTCTCATCTGGTTCATTCTGAGACTTGTTCAAATTATTGTCACTATACTATTACTATAAAT